GTGGCAGATTGAGATTATCGAATTTCAATAACGGCTGAACAGATCGAGTTTTATGTTAGCTTAATCGATAGCTTACACTCCGATCGTAACATACATGCTTTTATTTTTCCTCTACGTGTCCTACAAGCGGAGATATTGCGACGCAAAGTCCAGATCTGTCACTTTTCACATTCAGATTCAGATACGTCGTTATTATTATTGTCGTCGACCAAGAAAAATGTACGTCTCGTTTTTTCGATAATAGATGGCTTTTGACTTAACCAAGCGATGGCAGCATTGCACATTCGAACGTGATCAACCACACATGACGGTTGTGATAATCAGCGATGGAAACAGTGTCATCACATATATACAAAGTGACGCGCGCCTGGTGCAAAAATACGATGTGACGCACACGCGGCGCAAATTGTTAATTAAAATTAAAATGAAATATTAATTAAAATTGAAATGAAATCGAGATTGTCGTTGAAGATCTAAGTATTTACCGCGTCGAAGAAGAGGGTATCTAAATGTTCACCATCGAAGAATTAAGCGTCTAGATGTTTGCCGTCGAGGAAGTGGGTGTCTAGGTGTTCGCCGTCGAGGAAATGGGTTTCTAGGTGATCGCTGTCGAGGAAGTGGGTGTCTACATGTTCGTCATCGAAGAAGTTGGTGTCTAAATGTTCACCGTCGAGGAAATGAGTGCCTAGGTGTTCGCCGTCGAGGAAGCGGGTGTCTAGGTGTTCGCTATTGAGGAAGCAGGTGTCTAGGTGTTCACTATTGAGGAAATGAGTGTCTAAGTGGTTCACAACCATCACAAAATTGCAAGTGTTGCCGCATGAAACATTTTTCTATTTAAATTAAATTTTTTCATTTTATACGGTTAATTCTTTAATTTTTTGTGGTAACACTTAAATTGAGCAAGGTAACGCAATGTTGTGATGTTTTGTATAATGTTTTGAAGGAGAATTAAATAACCACTACTTTAGTTGGTAGAGAAAATCTTTGAATGAATTGTGATTAAATAATCACTACTTTAGTTGGAAGAGGAAATGTCTTTGAATGAATTGTGATATGATAATTTCATTTAAGAGGAATTTAAACCATTTGGATTGGAATAGGAAGATTCTTCAATAAGTATACGTATACTTAGGTTTCATTGTATAAAAATTAAAGATAGTAGCATTTGGATTAAGTAAATAATAAAGATAGTATCACTTAAGTTCTACTTTTTATTTTGTAGTAGAATTTAACTTGGCGCCACATTTGTTGATATCAAATCGTTCGTATGAATAATACATATTAGATTAATATTCATTATTTAATTTGGCAATCAAATCTTTTTTCGAATAATACATAAAATTTTGATAAATTTAATTAAATTAACAGAATTTAACTTGGCGCCACAATTGTTGATATCAAATCTTTTATACAGATGATATATATATCATTAGATTTAGTAAATTTTGTGATATAATGATTTTCATGTAATAATTTTTGAAGGGGAATACAGCCATTATAACTTGGATTGGAATGTATCATATACAAAGAATTATATCAACTCGATTAATCCTGATCGGTGATTAACTGTCAACCGTAAGTGGTCAATTCTACTAAACAACAAACGCAATTAATCATCAGTTCCACGGCCGATTAAGTAATTGACGTTGGTGAAACCGGTCCAAATGGTGATTCTACACGAGAAGCACACACACTTAGCGCTTTTTTTACTTTTTTTTTAAAAAAGGTAAGTTGTATACGATTAAAGTTACTATTATTTTCTTTTTGGAAAATAATATCATTTTCGATTGGGGTGCACTTGCTGCACTCAGTGTCAAGAGCATGTTCGATTGGCAGTGCCAATGCGCACTTGACTAGTGTCACATGTTCATTTGACCGCACGACACTCGCATAGTGCGCACTCAGTGCGCACTAAGTGGCACGAGATATTTTGACGGTGCCAGTTCAGTGCACTGGATATATATATATATATAGGATATCAGTACATCATTTTGTCACAGTATAAAAGGGACAAGCAAATCTGTAATTTATATCATGCAAATGTGTACAATTATTGATAAGTATGTACATATATGATATTCTTGATATGTTATATATTATTTAATTACACATATAGTAAAAAATCATTATTTAAAGTTACGAATATGAAATGTCGAAGTTATTTTTCTGCGTTCTTTCTGCATTTTAATCAAGTCCTTACAATCTTACAACTCGAAATGGCATTTCAACTTTAGCACTGAAAATCTTGGCGTGTTCTTTTGAACTTGCACTATTCAGTGCAACCCATGGAACTCGTCCAGTGTTGGTGTGAACTGAGTGCGCACTGGTGCGCACTAATTTTTTCCCAATCGAAAACGCTATAAGAGTATAGTAAAATTTAACTTGGTAGAATAGCAGTTTTTTTCAATACCATTACCATTTAAGTTTTATCATATAAATAGCTTTTTTCGATGATTAGAGTTAACTAAATAATAAAGATAGTACCGCTTCAGTTTTATAATAGATATCATTAAAGTTAATAATAAATAAATAATTAACGTAACAGAATTTAACTTGGCGCCTGTTGTTGATATCAAATTTTTTATACATATGATACATATCATTAGAGTTATGTAACCATAACAAAGATAGTATCACTTAGGTTTTATTTTTTTAACCTAGACACCCACTTCCTTGATGGCGAACACCTAGACACCCACTTCCTCGACGGCGAACACCTAGACACTCATTTCCTCGACGGCGAACATCTAGACACCAACTTCCTCGACAGCGAACATGTAGACAACACCTACACACTTAATTTCTCGACGGCGAACACCTAGATATCCCTTCGTCGATGGCGAACACCTAGACACTCATTTCCTCAATAGCGAACACCTAGACACCCACTTCCTCGACGGCGAATACCTAGACATCCATTTTCTCGACGGCGAACACCTAGACACCCGTTTCCTCAATAGCGAACACCTGGACACTCACTTCCTCCACGGCGATCACCTAGACACTCATTTCCTCGACGGCGAACATCTAGACACCAACTTCCTCGACGATGAACATGTAGACAACACCTAGACACCCACTTCCTCAACGGCGAACACCTAGGCTCTCATTACCTCGACGGCGAACATTTAGACACTAACTTCTTCGATGACAAACATTTAGACACCCTCTTCTTCGACGCGGTAAATACCTAGATCTTCAACGACAATCTCGATTTTATTTCAATTTTAATTAATATTTCATTTTAATTTTAATTAATAATTTGCGCCGCGTGTGCGTCACATCGTATTTTTGCACCATGCGCGCGTTGCACATTGTATAATATGTGATGACACTGTTTCCATCATTCGTCGTTGTTCACATATGTGGTTGTTCACATTCGAATGTGCAATGCTGCCATCGCTTGGTTAAGTCAAAAGCCATCTATTATCGAAAAAACGAGACGTACATTTTTCCTGGTCGACGACAATAATAATAACGACGTATCTGAATCTGAATGTGAAAAGTGACAGATCCGGACTTTGCGTCACAATATCTCCGCTTGTAGGACACGTAGAGGAAAAATAAAAGCATGTATGTTACGATCGGAATGTAAGCTATATATTAAACTATATATAAAACTCGATCCGTTCAGCCGTTATTGAGATACCATAATCTCAATCTGCCACAACTCGCCGGCTCGCGTAAAGGAGGCATTGCAGTGTCGCTGCGCTTGGCTTAGCGCCGAGACACTACCGTATCTCCAGATCTTTTTCATACAATCTCAAAATCTCCTGCCAATCTTTCATCCTTTGTGAGCCATAACGCTCGAATAAATTTTTTGTATTAGCTTCCGTTTTCTTCAAAATTTTCACAATCTTCACACAGTAAAAATAATTTATATCTAAAAAAAGGTAAAAGTAAAAAGTCAGAAGCAACTATATATTTGTAAAAATCGTAAAATGGAGCTATAATGATTTATAGCTTACAGGCACCAGACAACAATAAAGCAATGTCATCATGAACAGGCATATTCTGTATCGCATTATTAATTTTCTGCCTAATGGGTAAAATATTCATGTGCCAATCCTTCTTGCAATGCTTCCGATTTATCAGCCCCAATCTAGTAACTTTCTAGCGTTAATGTTGATCGGGATATCCTGTTCCTAAATAATTATCGAAATAATAATTTACATGTGAAAATTTGATTAAATAAAATTCAACAATAAAAAAGGAAAACAATATCGAACATTAAAAATAATATAAAAAACACATCGATGAAGTCTGACTAAATGTTTATTCTCGATTGTAGCATGTGTCAAATTGAGGGTAATTCTTTGCAAAAATTTACACAAAGCTTATACAAGCTCAGATGATCTTGACTTTGATATATGTTGTCAAGGTCATGATCTAGAATAACTTTGCCTTAACAATTAAGTGGCGGTCTCTTATAATTTTTTAGATATTTACAGTTAAAGTGTATAATTTCAGTAAAAGATTTTAATCGTGGAGAACGAACTCAAACGATCCTAATCTTGATATGTTGTTCAGGCCATGATCTTGAACAACTTTGCTTTAACAACTAGGTGACGGTTTGTCATACACTGTTAAAAACTTCATGAAATTTAATATACTTTTAAGTTACACAATTTGAATTTAATTCCATGACATTACATTAAATTTAATGTATTTACAACTGAAAAGTATATTTGTGTACATGTACATGAAATTTAATGTAATTTTCATGTACATGAAATTTAATGAAAATTTATGAAATTTAATATACACGTTCATTACATTTAAATAACTACTGTAACTTAATTTTCAGTTAAATTATTCATTACTTTTAATTTCGTTTATAATCACGAACTTCATGTAAAGGAAGCATTTTTAAAAGTGTAGTTTCTAAGATATTTAATCGATTCTCGATTTATGTGAAAGTTGTAGACCTATGTAAAATCTCTACTGAAGTCCTACTGAAATCCCTACTAAAAAAAATCATGTCACAAAAAGTTACGTAACAAAATGTCGTGTAATTAAGACAAGTAAATTAAATTTCCTCGACGTAATTATTATTATTGACGAACAAAAAATCATTTTTGATTGTTATAAAAAACCAACCTTTTCCGAAAGATATTTAAATTTCGATTTCATTTTCGATCCCAGCATCCTACATGAAATAAGAGAGGTATGATCTATGGATTGTTCGATAGAACTGTACTATTATTCCATTCTAAATTCCACCATAAAAACATTATAGATATGATCAACATACTACTCAAGAATGATTATCCCTTTCCTTTCATTTATTCAGCTATCCACACACGAATTAAATTTCACATTAATCATAACGCTAATCATAATGAAATCCAATATAATATAATGATAATACACGTTATTTTACTGTGCTTTTTGTCAAGATCGTTTCTGAATCATTCTCACACATTGCTAAAACTTTAAACCTGCTTTCACGATTCCTAATAAATTAAATAAATTTATCACCACTGGAAAAGATCCTCTGGAAAAGATAGCACATCAAGACGTAGTATTAGTCATGATTGTGACGCCTCATATCAGCCATAAAAGCTGATATGAGGCATATACTAAAAGGCAATTAAAAACCATAGTTTCCGAACATATCAAGAATATAAATAAAAAAACGAGTTCTCCGTCTGTTATTTCCAATCATCGAATTAATCATGATCACAACTTTAATTGGGACGATGTGAAAATTTTGGATAATGAACCGTCATATAACAAGAGACTGATTCCGGATTTGGTTTTTATTAAGAGACAAAAAAACGCATTAAATAAACAAAACGACACGGAATCTCTACCTGCATATGTAATCCTATATTACAATTACTTTCCCTCTTTTAAATTTCCCTTCCTTCGCTGCTAATTTACTGAATCTTCCTTTTCCTAAAATGACTCTTTGTCTCTTTGTATTGTAGTCATTTGTTATCAAGCATTTTAAAGTATGTCTATATAAATTTTGAACAAGATCCAGTCAGAGCATTGCATTGACTTTATAACTTCCATCCGATTACAATGGACATTTTTAAATCGCAAATGTTGAAGATATTTAATGCCTATTACGTTGAAGCTATATGGTATACTTATAGATTTCATAATAATTTATTTACATTTCTATTCGTTATTATGTTAAGATTCAAATGAAGACTTCATATGACCTATGAACAGATGACTATTGCAATCGGCTAGCCTGTTCTAATTCTAAGCTAATTGTTCGACCTATCTTTCAAGAATTTTACACCGACTGACATGTATGAGAACAGAGAGAACAGGTTTCGTACAGTAAATTGCGTTTTATCACTATATGGAACTAGATTAATTGTATGTACAAGGGTCGTCTTCTGAAAAGTTTTGAGCCTCATCATGAAGATAGCGTTACTCGTCAAAGCCATTCTGGTATTATAATCGTGATACTTACGAAAGATATCTGTGACAATTGTGGCCACTTTGGATGTTCAGTTCTTGTTTGACAATCATTTGTGTCGTCATTTTGTAAAAATGGAAAAAATTTAATATCGTGCTATAATTAAATTCTTGCATTTGAAAGGCAATACGTCTATGCAAATTAAAGCCGAGTTGGACGCTGTTTACAGGGACTCTGCCCCATCATTGCCACCGTGAAAAGATGGGTAGCTGAATTTAAACGTGGTCGTACCAGCTTAGCTGATGATGAACGTTCGGGACGGCCAACAATTGCAACCATAACATCACCGATAACATCGAAGAAATTCATCAAATGATAATGGACAACCGTCGAATTAAGGTTAGGGAGATAGCAGAGGCTG